GTTACTGTGATTAGAATCATCAAAGGCACTTAACATATGCACCATGTAAGTGTTAAGTACACCTGCTAAGTTAAACTGACTTAGTCAGTGGCAGAGTGCAAAGGGTTTCATAAGCGGTGTGTACAACAGTTTGGGCTACGACCCCAGAACCAAACTGCAGATGACACTCCATACAAATTCACCATTGATACTTGCAGCTGTGAGTCCCCAGTGGCAATTTCTGTATATAGGGCTGCGATCGCACACACTAAATAGTCCACTTCCAATCCACTTTCAGTGCGCTTCCCAACTGGATTTCGCTGTGTGAACTGGCAAAATCCACTTGGAAAGTGCACCGAGAGTGGATTGTTTCGTGTGTGTGTGTGACTGCAGCCATTGGTCCATTCTGCATCCAGCATTCGCTCCGCTGTTTTACCAAACCCACGTTGGAACAGAGATTCCCCACCGCGTTGCATGCCACTTTCGCTTTGATTGATTGTCAGATTTTATGGCAGTGTCCAGAGACTGCATGCCCGCTTTCACTATGGTATAATGCCACAGAGTCCACCCTCCAAAGCAGCCATTTTCTCCAGGGGAACTGATCTTTGGTCCTTTCCACATTTGCTTGCCTCTCCGGATTTTCTCAGTGTTTGAATCGAGGCAATTTAGGTCCACAGCCAAACAGCATCCAAATAACCCCGGGGCAACAGCAGGCTGAAACCGGGCTGACCACTGAAGGGAGGTAAGTTTGGTATAGTGGTTAAGTGCGCGGACTCTAATCTGGGAGAACCGGGTTTGATTTCCCCACTCCTCCACTTGCACCTGGCTGGATGAACTTGGGCAAGCCGTAGTTCTGATAAGAGCTGTTCTTGAAAAAATAGCAGTTTCTGTCAAGAGCTCTCTCACCCCCACCTACCTCACAGGGTGTCTGTTGTAGGGAGGGGAAGGGAAAGGAGTTTGTAAGCCGCTCTGAGAAACCTTTGGGTAGTGAAGGGCAGGGTATAAATCCAATCTCTTCTTCTTCTTTTACCTCACAGGGTGTCTGTTGTGGGGAGGGGAAGGGAAAGGAGTTTGTAAGACAGTTTGTAAGACGCTCTGAGACACCTTTGGGTAGTGAAGGGCGGGGTATAAATCCAATCTCTTCTTCTTCTAATGCAATGCAGAATGGGGGGGGGACCCAGAATATAAAGGGGGCTGAACTTGATTTTAGTGCAGAATTGCTTGGAGGACACTGTGGAGGAGAGTGCAGAAAGTGTTGAAGTAACCTGGAGACCAGTTGTGAGTCTGAGAGATCTCCAGCCACCATCTAGAGACAGCAAACCCTGATCTTCAGCACTGCCTTCTTTCTCATGAATCTGCTCAAAGTTGCTTTCCAGTCTCTCCTCCTTAAATTGTAGATATAAAGGTAAAGGTAAAGGTTCCCTTGCTCGAAAGCCAGCCGAGTCCGACTCTAGGGTTGTGGTGCTCATCTCCGTTTCAAAGCCGAAGAGCCAGCGCTGTCCGAAGACATTTCCGTGGTCATGTGGCCGGCATGACTAAACACCAAGGTGCACGGAACGCTGTTACCTTCCCACCGAAGTGGTACCTATTTATCTACTTGCAATGTCTTGCTTTCAAACTGCTAGGTTGGCAGGGGCTGGAACTAGAGATGGGAGCTCACTCCGTCATGCGGCAACCCGGGTCTCGAACTGCTGAACTACCGACCTTCCACAGCCTGCAGTTCAGTGTCTTAACCACTTGAGCCACCGCAGCTCCACTGAATTGTAGATATACACGTTCTAAAAAGGGAGGGGATGACAGAGCTTTATTCCTCATCAGGAAGAAGGCAGTAAGGATTTCCTTTTACAAGAGAACAAACTGCCAGTGATTTAGTCGCTATATAACCACCGTGATAGTGAGTGTCATTTGAATTTCCTGCCTTGAGCACCAAAACATCTGTCACTTTTATATGCCAGAGATATGAAGTTCTCCAGTTAGATTCTTGGGAGCTGCCACCTAGTGGCCAACTTATAATATTGATTATTCAAAAATTGTTTTCCAGGTCTGGGCAAATAACCTTGTTTACTTTTAAATTTAATTTAAAAAGCAAGATGTTTTGAAAGCTGACCACTACAGATCTCTCTAGTATCATCTCCCACAAACAGGGCCAAGAGAAAATATGGAATATATATATATATATTCACTCTCCAAAGACACATACACACTGAACACTGTCATAAAACAAACACACAGAGATTCCTCTCAGAACATCTCCTCCCACACTCTCAGTCATCAGCCAATCACAGCACACACATCTACCCCTATCGCCCTCCTTGCAGTACTGCAGTCAAACCAACATTTAAAGGAACACACACACACACATCAAAACAAGGAATCATTACTGTCAAGTCGCAGATCTGTCCTCACAGAGGAGGGAGAGCTTGTACCTGAATAAAACCTGGTCTTAAAGGTGCTACTGGACTGTTTTGGCCCAGGGGGCTGGGGGGGGTTCTACAACTTACCTGGCGGCTTCTTGCTCTGACAGAGGGCTGCTGGGAGCAGGGGGTGGGGTTTGTTGCATGTGCCCGCCCCCTGGGCTCTTTACTGCCTGAGCTCCGCTCCTGTGTGCTCCCACAGGAAATGACCCCTGCTCAGGGTAATCCCTAATCATAAAAACAGATTTTAAAGGTGGAGTAAAACAAACAGGGAAAGATGAGGGGACAGTATCACTGATGCTGTTTGATGGACGTTCGGACTGTTTCTTTGTAGGGTTGCCAAGAACCTGGAGGGGGAAAATGTCCTCTCCTAGGGTTGCCAGGTCCGACTCAGGAAATATCTGGGGACTTTTGGGGGTGGAGAAAGGATACTTTGGGGTGGAGCCAGGAGCAAGGGTGTGACATGACTTTGGTGATGTCACTAGGGTTGCCAGGTGTGTCATGAGTGCTGACGAGGATGAGCTCCCGGCTTCAGCAGAACCCACACCTGGCCCTGATGATGCGTCGGAGTCCGAGAGCTTGCCACGGCCGCCCGCATCAGCAACAGCTGATGAAGAACAATCAGCAGCAAACAGCCCCCCTGACTCACCTCCGCGGGTGGCGCGTTTGAGGAACCGACTCCACCAGGACTTAATGCCCAGGCGACGGGAGGCACGCCTTCGGGGCAGACGCTCACTCAGCCCTGAGTTTTAGCAGATGCTGGGCTGCTCACGATGAGCATTAATTAGCAGCTGCAGCTGAGGGGTATTTAGCTCCCCACTCAACGCTCGTTCCTTGTGGCAGCAACTAGTCGATCTGACGATGCTTTGCAACCACCCCACCCGTAACTTCGGTCTCTACCCATGTCCTGAACTCTTGGCTCCTCGATCTCGGCTCTGAACGACTCCACTCCTGATTTGTGTTTTGGACTCTTGTTATCGGTTCCTGTCTTGGCTACCTCCCGGCTCTGACTTTGGACTGGACTTGGACTCTCTCTCTCTCTCTGCCTGCACCCCAGCCCGTGACAGATTGCTGCCATCCCCATACACTCGCTCACAGGATGGACGGAGAGGCGAGCGGAGGCACTCTACAGTTGGCAGACCTGCAGCAGTTCACGCAAGTGGTTGCTTACCTGCAGAGGTCGATTCGGGGGGATCGTGGGGGATCGCAGTTCCCGGGCCAGGGAGGGCCTTGGCGGGGCTTCCTCGCACTCCTGCTGCCCTTGCAGGTTCACCGCCGGGCCCCCAACACTTCCAGTGATGTCAGGGGGTGTGGCATATGCTAATGAGTTATGGTAATGAGTTCCCCTAGCTCTTTTTCTACGAAACAATCCCTGCTTACCTGTAATAACAACAGCAACTGCAGCAGCAAGCCACCGCCACCACTGTCCCACCGCCGAGACCCCTCCTGAAAAGTTTGGTGGTAATGTGGAGGAGTTCCCTACATTCCTGGCACAATGTAAACTGTATATCGAATTACATGCCCGGGACCAAGGTGTGTTTCATAATCAGCCTCTTAAAGGGGCAGGCGGCTAAATGGACCACTCTGTTACTCGTGGCTCCTTCACCGCTGCTCTCAGATTTCCAGGGGTTCCTTGCTCATTTTTCCACAGCCTTTGCAAACCCACAGCAGGCAGCTGCAGCAAATCGGAAAATCCGGACCTTGAAGCAAGGCAAGAACTCAGTCGCCCCTTTACTCCACAGAATTCAAACTTCTGGCTCAAGACTTGACCTGGAACAAGGCAGCCTTGATGGACCAGTACACAGAGGGGCTGGCTGATGATGTCCTGGATGACTGGGTTTGATTCCCCACTCCTCCACTCGCAGCTGCTGGATGACCTTGGGCAAGCCATAGTTTTCTCAGAGCCGTTCTCTCAAGGGCAGTTCTCGAGAGAGCTCTCTCATCCCCACCTACCTCACAGGGTGTCTGTTGTGGGGGAGGGGAAGGGAAAGGCGTCTGTAAGCCGCTCTGAGACTCCAAGTGAAGGGCAGGGCATAAATCCAAACTCTTCTTCTTCTTCTAATCCCCTGAGTCCCTGTGAGAAAGGTGGAGTATAAAGAACGTAAGCAAATAAAGATAGCACATCTTTCCTTGTGGTTCAAGGCAGCTTACAAGAATCGTTTAAAAAAATATTTCCCATTAAAACCGGAATAAAATGGCAAACCCCAAATCTCTCCCTCCCCCTTAAAAGCAGCCTGCCGTTCAAACCCACCCCCCAAAAAACCCTTTAGACCAAGGTTCACTGACCTAAATCATCTCAGAGGGGGATTTATTCAGCTTTTCAGCACAGCAAGATCATCTACGTTGATGGATAGGCACGCTTCCTTAGCATATTACAAGTTTTCTCTTTAACGCCGGACCTATTTCCTAAGCTACAGTGGAAAATACGGCAAATAACGCTCTAACTTAATTAACCATCATTCATATCCTGCCTTTGAACGTATACCGCTCTGAAGGATTAATTGTAATGCTGTCGGGTGAGGAGTAAGCAATTATGAGGCACATTTTCATCATGAATTCATCCATGAAGGAACACGGAGACTTTAATGTGAGTTAAAGCAAGCGGTGTCATTTTTTCCTCAGACGCTTCTTAATAAAAACCCCCAACAATTTCTGTGGCCTTGATTCAAACTCCTCCAGGACTCTGGGAGAACAGGTAATCTGGTCCCCTTGAAGCCGGTTCAAGAGTGTGACACATACCACAGCGCCTAGAAGTGAAAAGAAAAGCAATCGAAATGAGGAGCTTCAAGTCACACACAAGACTGGGGAAACCTAGAGCTATTTTTCCTTTTCTGGCCTGTTTTCTGCTGCTTCACAATTGTGGTGTAACTCAGATTTTCTTTTCCTTCTGTGTCGGGTTAATTAAATTGTAAGTCATTCCGGCAAGAGTCTATTTATTCATTGGACGGCACTTAGCAAAATAAGCATACTCATAATCAATCAGAATGTTCACTTCTGCTGAGGCTCAGTGGTAGAGCATCTGTTTTGATGGCAGAGGGTCCCAGTTTCAATGTCCAGCATCTCCAGTTAAAAGGACCATCTAAAAGCCTTGCAGTTTTTGGCTTTAGACAAAGCGGAACTGGGGAAGCATAAACCTCAGACATACGAGTCTATTTAGGGGTGACTTCTCAAGTGCAAATGATGTGAGCGATGAATCCAATGTGATGTATGTCTGCATGTATTATCACCCCTGCTGTTCTTTAAAATACATGTTTGTGGTAGGGTCACCAACCTGCCAAGCTAGCGGTTCGAAAGCAAGAAATTGCAAGTAGATAAATAGGTACCGCTTCAGTGGGAAGGTAACAGCATTCCGTGCACCTTGGTGTTTAGTCACGCCGGGCACATGACCATGGAAAAGTCTTCGGACAGCGCTGGCTCTTTGGTTTGGAAACACAGATGAGCACTGCCCCCTGGAGTTGGCTTCGACTGGCTTTCAAGCAAGGGAAACCTTTACCTTGACCTTGTTGCCATGCAAGCCTATCAATGTGTTTTTATGGACTGTGCAAAGGGACTGTACAACATGGTGACCTAAAAATACCTGTTGAGACTGCACACCTGAAAGAGGGACACCTTCCTTTAGCGTTGCTGCTCCAGAAGTATTCCAGAGTTACCAGCCATCTTGCCTGCTGTGAGATGAAGCAGTTCCATAAGCCTGCACAAAGCCTCAGACGCCATGCCATGGAAAACATGAGGACAGAGAACTCCAGACGCCATTAGGCGTTTCTTCCAGCACATGTAAAGGTAAAGGTAAAGGTTCCCTTGCTCGAAAGCCAGTCGAGTCCGACTCTAGGATTGCGGTGCTCATCTCCATTTCAAAGCCGAAGAGCCAGCGCTGTCCGAAGAAGTTTCCGTGACTAAACACCAAGGCGCACGGAACGCTGTTACCTTCCACTGAAGCAGTACCTATTTATCTACTTGCAATGTCTTGCTTTCGAACTGCTAGGTTGGCAGGAGCTGGAACTAGATACGGGAGCTCACTCCGTCATGCAACAACTCGGGTCTCAAACTGCTGAACTACTGACCTTCCACAGCCTGCAGTTCAGCGTCTTAACCACTTGAGCCACCGCAGCTCCTTCCAGCACATGTAGGCAACCCCTTTCCCCCCTCTTCCAGCTACCTGCAAATCTAATCAAGAGACTCTATTAGTTGCTTAGCAACTAATCGCTCACACATCAGCAAGTCCTAGGGCCATCAAGAGACAATAGCCCTAGCCTGATAATTCAATCACTCTTAATCCAGGTGCCAGTCCCCAGACCAAGTTACTAGCTCTCAATATTGACCACCCCCTAGCTCTCCTCCCCCTTTCTGCACTCCCAGCCAAACGCCTCGACTAGAGAAATGGCTCATTAAGAAAGGCCCTCCCCCTTGGGAGGAAGGATCGTTTAAAGGGCCCGACCCTCTCCAGATAGCCAGGACAGCATTCCACGACTATTGTGAGCAGAAGAAACCAGCTGGTTCTGCCAAAGATAGGGCTGGAGCGTGGGCCTTATACCCGGCTCTTCAGGACGCCGTTTCCGTCATCAAACGTCTGCAAACAGACAGTGACACCTACGAAGCCACTGTAGCGAAACAGACCGAGGAAACAGACCAGTTAAAGTCTAAGCATACCCAAGACCTAAACACCCAAGCCGCTGAGCTAGCGAAGTTAAAAGCAGAATATCAAACTGAATTAGACCAGTTGAAGTCTAAGCATAGTCAGGACTTAAACGACCAAAGAGAAAACTGTGAAGAGATCCTAGCCGATAAGTGAAGAGAGTATGAGGAAGACATAGCCGAACTCCATAAGGACTATGGGGATGAGAATCTCCAATTGCGCACGGAGAAACTCAATATAGTTTTAGAAAAACAGGGCTTAGCTGGTACTACCCAGGAAGCCAAACAGACGGCCTCGGAAGCCACAGAAAAGGCTAGGGTCGCTGAGGCAGCATTAGCAAAAGCGACCGAAGAGCTGGCAACAGCTCAACAGGCCGCTCCCTTCCTCGCCGACCAGACCCAAGCCAAAAGAGAAATGGCTAATCATGATGCGTGTCAGAGAGAAATTGAATTACTTAAGGAGCAATTGGGTCTGCAAAAGGCAGTAATACCATACACCCAGGAGGTCTTATAGACTCCCCCCCCAAACGCCCTTGAGGTAGAGGAGTCCCAAATGCAGCCCCCTTGTTGTAGTGAACGGGAGAGCTCTAACCCTGTTAACCCCATAAGCACCAAACAAATGGTCACAAAGGCAGGCAATAAAACTACCACCCAGACGGTCACGGAAACGCCAGATGAGGTTAAAGCCATAGCAGAGCAAGTGGGACCCCTCACTAAGGACAATGCGATTCAGTGGATGACAAATGTAAGCATGGCTTATTCCAGCCTAAGTGGGGAAGTGCCAGGCCTGCCAAACTTCCCTCGCCCCCCACGGCAACAGCGGTGAGGCCTGTGCGGCTCCGAGCCAGCAGGCACGCCAACCCTCCCCTGCTGCCCCATGGCAATGGCAGCGAGGCCTGAGCTCGGCCCGTCAAGCCTTCTCCCTCCCCCTCCTCTAGTGGCAGTGATGGTGAGGCCTGGCTGGCCGGCCAAGCTTTCTCCCCCCCCCCAAGTGGTGGCGGCAGCGAGGCAGAGCATTCCCTGCATATGCGCTGGGAACACTTTTTTTAACTTTTAAGGGGATTTAAGTATCCCCCGTATATTTTTTTCAACTTTTTAGATTTTTCTGAATACCTGGGGACTGCCCCAAGTGTGCAGGGAAATCTCTCTGCCCCCCAAGTGCCCCCGATGTTCAGATTTAGATATCCACAAGGAGGAGGCAACTTCGTTATTAGATATATAAATTATGAATGTCAACTAAAATTTAAAGTAAATATGTGATATTAAAATATGAGTAAAAACAAAACATACAGAAATAAAAGCATAGATCATTTGTGTATAGTAATAAATACGTAACGCACAGCTGTAACCCATTAAGAAAATTTTGTCGGATTTGGATTTTAATGAAGATATCAGTATGTTATGAGAATGTTCCTATTTACATTATGTTTTCTTGTAGAGTAATATAGGGAACTCTGATTTAGGTGTAACTGATTCAAATGAACTTTAGCTGAAACTGAACTGGATCTTATATAAGAGTTTAACATGAAGTTAGAATGGAATCTGGTAATACTTCATTTCTTTTTTATTTACATACTGGGTTTTTTCCCTCCTTAAAGATGCCAAGTAAAAAAATGGTTTACATGTCTTTTTTATCATATATAGTAGAAATATATGTTTAATGTGACTTTAGATTATATATAGTAGAAATGTTAGTAGTTTATTTAGATTTGTGTTAGACTAAAGAAATAAGTAGCTTTTAATATATAGTGTTGCTAAGATGGAAGTTTCTGATATGGTAAAATATTAGTTAACGTTATGTATGAGAAACTTGATTAGATACTATGACATTGTAACACTCGGGTTTTTTTTTACTTTTTCTTTCTGAAAATTAATAAAATATTATTTAAACAAAAAACAAAAAAAAACCCAAGCTTAAGCACAACTCAGGGTATGGAAGCCAAAAGTTACATTTAACCACCGGAAACATCTGAGAATCTGAGGTGCCCATCCAGGGCAATAAACTCTGTTGAACGGAGACATTTCTAAGTAGAAACGTTTAGGATGGGCTTGCAAGATTGTGCCATGCAGAATGGGTCTCCATGCCCTTTTAATAAACAGGCCATCCGTTAATCCGGATACTTTTTTTAAAAAAGCATTTTAGCTGATTTAGAATTGCAAGCAGCTATTTTGGAATTGCAAATGCAAGTCTGATTTAATGCATATTTGACTTTCCACATCTATAAAGAAGCACAGAAAATGTGTTTTAGGCAACAGTCGGGCTTAATTAACTATGCGTTGGATCCACACAGGAGAAAGAAAACCCACCACTGTGCAGGCAAGTTGCGGGGTCCTCTCTGACCCCAAGCAGGGGATGGGGAGGTAGGGGTCCAGATCTAGGCTGGGAAACTCCTGGATATTTGGGGATGGAGACCGGGGAGGACAGGGACCTCAGTGGGGTACAATGCCAAAGAATCCACCCTCCAAAGCAGCTATTTTCTCCAGCGAGACTGATTTCTGTAGTCTGGAGGTGAGCTGTAATTCTGAGGGATCCCCAGGTCCCACCTGCAGGCTGGCATCTCTATAGGATTGCCATCCCCCTGATGGGGGCAGGGTTTCCTCCACTTTCGGGGCTCCCAATCCACCACCAGCCAGCTGGCTGCCAGGGGAGCCCCGCCCCCGAAAAGACCCAGTGTGCCCAATGTGCCCGGCACGATGACGTTACCCAGAGGTGATGTCATTGCGCCGGGCATGTTGTGCGAGGGACGCTCTAGCATTTGGCTAAAAACTCTATGGTGAGCATCCCAGAAGCTCCAGGAACCCGGGCTGGAGCCCCCCACCGGCAGCGAGGTACGACCTAGCAACCCTACATCCCTACAAAGGCTGTAGAAGAAGAGGAGGAGGAGATTGGATTTATACCCCGCCCTTCTCTCAGAGTCTCAGAGCGGCTTACAAACTCCTTTCTCTTCCCCTCCCCACAACAGACACCCTGTGAGGCAGGTGGGGCTGAGAGAGCTCTGAGAGAACTGTCCTTGAGAGAACAGCTCTGACAGAACTATGGCTTGCCCGAGGTCATCCAGCAGCTGCACGTGGAGGAGGGGGGAATCAAACCCGGTTCTCCCAGACTAGAGTCCGCACTCCTAACCACTACACCAAACTGGCTCCAAATAGCACCAAGTCGGACAGAGGCAGAAATGGCATCCACGTGCCCCACCCGCCCCAACTCCTCCCAGCACAGAAGTATTGACCAGGGTCCGGCAAACCCCCCACCAACGGCTCAGCCCTTGCCTTGCTCAGTGGCTAAATGGGGGGGAGCCCTGTCAGAGGGCTAAAGCGGGGGAACCCTGAAGTTTATCATCATGGCCATTTTGAAGGCAGCCTGAAGCGCCACACAGACACACACACACAATCAGGTTGCCAACCTCCAGTCGGTGGCCGAAGATCTCCTGGAATTACAACTGGCAACTGACCACAGAGATCAGTTCCCTTGGAGAAAATGGCGGCTTTGGAAGGTGGAGTCTGTGGTGTTACACCCAGCTGAAGTCCCTCCCCTCCCCAAACCCCGCCCTCCCCCAAGGCTCCACACCCAAATCTCCAGGTATTTCCCAAGCACATCACCCGTATAGGCTCTGGGCTAGGGTTACCAACCTCCAGGTAGGGAGGACTCTATGGCATTATTATAGTCTGCTGAGGTCCCTCCCCTCCCCAAACCCTTCCCTACCCCAGCTCCACCCCCAAATCTCCAGGAGTTCCCCAACTCGGAGCTGGCAACCCATGCTTGCAGTCACCTTTGACGCCCGTCAGATTGCACATGGCTGCCACGACGGAAGATTCCATCTCTATATTTCTCACTCCAGCCTCGTAAGCTGCCTTCAGGTAGTTCATTTTCTCTTCATTGGTGAACGAACATATGGCGCCATCAAGGCGCGCTTGGCCTGCAGGGACATCAAATGCAGGTTTTTGTACATTAAGGAACCGCAGCAATAAGGTCCCAGATGCTTGTAATGAAAGATCAACCAACCTTATGGCATTTCTTAGGCACCACCAATACTGCCAAAATCTCAGGGCCACCCCCCCCCTCACCCGCCAAAGTAGCATTCAGCCCAGATCTACAGGGAGAAAGCTGGAACCTTTTTTATGGGTCATAGCAGGTGGTAAAAATATAAGAAGAACCCTGCTGGACCAGACCAATAGTCCATCTAGTCAAACATCCTGTCTTACTCAAAGGCCAACAACCAACAGTACAGCACTCAGCAAGAAAGTATTGATTCATTCTTGATTACATGTGCATTTGACTTTGTTGAAGTCTCCTTTTGTATATATTTTTGTGGGTAATTCAGCTCACAGTTGTTTTCTCTTGGTTTTTACTCAGAGGCCAACAAGTTCCTCTGAATGTTTAACAACAGAGCATAGAGGGGCGAAGCCTTAAGAAGAGAACATCAGAGGAGCCCTGCTGGAGCAGACCAGTGGTCTGTCTAGTCCAGTGATGGTGAACCTTTTAGAGACCGAGTGCCCAAACTGCGACCCCAAACCCACTTATTTATCCCAAAGTGCCAACACGGCAATTTAACCTGAATACTGAGGTTTTACTTTAGAGAAAACAACTCATACATTAACTTAAGATGATCCAAGCAAAGTAAGGAAAGCAATCCCAAATGCTTTCATTTACATAAAATTATTTGGCAGAGAATTCGACACTTTAATAGTGGTCTGGGCCTGGCACAGAGAGGGCTCTGAGTGCCACCTCTGACACCCGTGCCATAGGTTCGCCACCACTGGTCTAGTCCATCATCCTGTCTCACACAGTGGCCAGCCATAAAAACATCAGAAGAACCTTAACCAGAGGTCCATCTAGCTGAGCATCCTGTCTGGAGGTCCAGCAACAGGGCATAGAGGCCAAAGCCTTCTCCCAGGGTTGTCTCCTGATGCTGGGTTTCAGGACTTACTGCCTCTGTACATGGGGGTTTCCTTTAGCCACCATGGCTAGTAGCCACTGATCGACCTAACCTACATGGAAGGATGTTAAGCATCTGAAAAGTATGCAGACGGAGAGTGATTTCAGCTAAGCATACCTTTATTAGTCAGGAACAAGACAAAGACAGCCGGCTCGCAGGTCGGCTTATATTCCCTCAGGATCCACCACCATAACACACACCCCACTTCCCATTAGGCTATTTACAGTAACCGAGAGACCTATTGGCCTCACGGTTTGGGGACCTAGCCCTCTGATTGGAGAGGTCTAGGATCCTACTGACCCATTGTCCTTAGGCGCGAAGCTTGAGGTTTTTGTCCCTGGGCAAGTCCGGACATGCCCGGCCTGTCAGGGCTGGATACACTACAGCATCACTGATCAGTTTTGCCACCATTGCCAGTATTTTAAGGGACCACATGACCTAAAAACTAAAAACATGTCTGGGAATTCCTAAATCTGCCCGGGTTTTCAATCCCTGCCACTACTCTCCAGGGGGGTTCCACCAACAGGTCTCTCCTGCTGTTGACGCAACGATAGTCTGCTTCACCAAGCTCCTTGACGTGGGTGCAGAAGCACAGCCAAAATTTGAGGAGCTCTTGCTGTGCTCTTGATTCAAGACCACCCATGCCCTCCATCAGGTACAAGCGATCCTGCTCACCATCTGATACGCTGGGAGGACAGGGGCCCACCATACCAGTGTTCCCTCTAAACGGAGTCAGTGTGAGCCAGCTCACAGTTTTTTAGCCTCCGGCTCACACATTTTTGTCTTGGCTCAGGAAGGGTGGCTCCAGAGCAAACTAATGTATGCAGCAGCCAAATCACCTGCTCACAACTTCAATGCCAGCAGCTCACAAAGTAGAATTTTTGCTCACAAGACTCCACAGCTTAGAGGGAGCATTGCACCGTACCTGTGCTTCATGGAACTGGATTCAGAGGCCAAAAGGACACAATCTAGTACAGCCAGGAACAATCCAGTAATGAGGATACAACTGGTTAAATAGCTAATAAATGTCCCTGGGATCTGTGTTTCGAAGCTTCTGCTTGGTTGATTGATTAAAAAATAATAATAAAAAAGGCAACAAGCATAAAAACAAGCCATAGTCCCTAATAGCATTCAAGCCGTATGAGTATACACATGAGGAGCAATGTTCCCTCTAACTGTGGAGTCTTGTGAGCAAAAATTCTACTTTGTGAGCTACTGGCATTAAAGTTGTGAGCAAGCGATTTGGCTACTGCATAAATTACTTTGCTCTGAGTTAAGACAAAAATGTGTGAGCCGGTGGCTAAAAAACTGTGAGCTAGCTCACACGAACTCAGCTTAGAGGGAACACTGAGGAGTCACACTGAAACCACTGAAAAGTCAGGGTTTTTTTTCAAATCAAGTTCATGCCTCCTGTGGTATCAGGAATCCTCGCCTAGAAATCCAGTTTGCTGAGTGCTTATCAGAGACATTAATTTAAAATATCGTGCTGCGGTCTAGCTGTTTCTGCTGGCATTCCTTGTAAAGTGAACGGGCAAATAGTACATGATTATACATTCTACTCAGCTTCTGAAAACCCAATTGTTTTGTTTGCCTGAAAAACCCATTGGATAAACGTGTGGCACGTAGGGTTGCCAGTCTCCAGGTGGGGCCTGAAGATCTCCCGGTCTCACAATTGATCTGCAGAGTGAGTCATGAACTGCCATGTGAGGCCTGGAGATCTTCCAGGATTACAACGGGTCTCCAGGTCACAGGGATCGGTTCAAGGGTTGCCAGCCCCCTGAGGGAGGTGGGGGATCCCCTGCCCCCAAGCCCCACCCCCTGCCGTCTATTAGCTGGCCAGTGTGAGAACTTATCAGGAGCAGGAGGGAGGCCCAGGCTACTTTGCTGGCGATGTGGTGATGTCACTTCCGGTATGCACCAGAAGTGACCTCATCACACTGGCGATGCAGAAGCCATTTTCCCCATAGAGTTTTTGCCCAAATACCAGGGTGTCACTGTGACATTACAAGTGTAGCTGGGGCATCCCGCCCACTCCTGATAAGCCCCACCCCACACTGGTTCCCAGGCAACCCTAATCACTTCCCCCGGATAAAATGGCTGCTTTGGAGGATGGACTGTATGGAATTATACCCTGCTGAGGTCACTTCCCTCCTCAAACTCCACCCCAGACTCCACACCTAAAATTTCCAGGTATTGTCTAATCTGGACTTGGCAACTCTAGACGGCAACAGCCTTACCTTCGTAGAAGTCCAGGGTGCACATGGTGTTCCCCATGAAAGTGCTGATCTGCTTCAGTTCCTTGCCACACTCCACCAGCTCTTCAGCCAGTTCCTTGTCTAGGACTGTGCTGCGGAAGACGGACTTCCCCAGGATAACCTGTTCTAACTGAGGTTTGAAGGTGGCATCCACAGACTGCCTGGTGATCACTAGAGACCCCGGCTCAATACCTAATTTTTTTTAGAACAAATGATATTTTAGAACAAATAAAATTTTAGAACAAGCGACACACACACACACAAACACACACAAAGTGTCCTGTTATCTATTTCACTCCTCCCAATAACCTCTTAGAAAAGAAGGCATGTAATATTGATATCCTTAGTCAAAAGGCAAGCACTGAAGTAAAGTACAAAGGGAAGAGACACCACTACATCACACATCTTTTTCATTTGTTTGTTTGTCTGACGTTGCTGGAAAAGACAATGTCTGGTGTACAAAGAAGAAGAGAAGAAGACCTTGAAGCGGACAGCAAGAAGACAATTAGGATAGCGAGGAGACCACCTTCTCATCTCCTGTTAAGTGCCATTCCTTGTCTGTCTCCAGATTGCTGCTCTTAGGGCAATTTCCCCCTTCTTCTCGGAAGTTCTACACCTGTCTTACTTTCTCTCTCAACTCAAAATGTAGGCTGCTGTCACACACACTAAATAATCCACTTTTAATCCACTTTCAGTGCCCTTCCCGACTGGATTTTAACTGTGTGAACTGGCAAAATCCAGTTGGAAAGTGCATTGAGAGTGGATTATTTTTAGTGTGTGTGACCGCAGCCGTAGTTAGGGACCCTAGCTCTGTCTCTCCTCCTTACTATCAAGTATGTTAGTTCCTAAATAAACCTTTGCCTACTCTTTAATCAGATTATGCACCATTGCTGTGTTAATTACTCTGCCAACAGAGGTTCCAAGAAAGAATTGGAGAGGCAGTGGCAGAAATGTGCAGTGTTTACTTTGTGCCCAAAACTAGTTTCACAGTTGATTATACCATTGCAACTTATTGTATGCTTATGCAAACTGTCCCCACTTTCTTTTGCTTGGAAGCGCACACAAATATCATTTATCATGCTCATATTGTGATCAGGGATGGCCGGTTTCTGGTTCCTATGTGTTCCGCCTCTGTATTTATACGTGAACAAATATTACAAAAATGTCGAAAGCCTCCTCAGCGGGGAAGACACTTCTAATGCTGCCCTGAAACATCCTGTGACATAGGAAGAGATTGTGTGCATGCAAGATATTATACGTGCCACACCAATATCTTCCAGTAGCCTCACTTTTCTTATCTAGTACAAACAGCTCATTAGTAAGACATAAAATACCAAAGGCAAAGGTTAGTGGGCAACATGTTCAAAATGCCAGAGACTTTCCCCTAGTAATAGCATCAGTGATATTCTCAGAAGTCTGGCTCCTGACACATTGCTCATCCTTCAGACTGACTTTGTTTTCTACAAGACGGGAGTGTGCATATTATATAAACAGAGTTCTGTTATAAGTAGCCAGTGAAGGGCCTACTATTTGTCTGCTTACGGTGGGAGTCCTCCAGGTAACGACAGGCAGGGGTCATTTTATAGAAAAAGAGGTGCAGGAGCTCATTAGCATAACTCATTAGCATAACTTATTTGCATATGCCACACTCCCTGACATTACCGGAAGTGTGTCAGAAGGCAACACCCACCACTCAGGCTCCACTGGACTTTTTTGGATTGCTAGCTATGGGGGGGGGGACGTGCAGATCTGTCCTAAAAGAGGAGGGAGAGCTTGTACCTGAATAAAACTTGGTCTTAAAGGTGCCACTGGACTGTTTTGGACCAGGGGAAAGCTCTGCAACTTACTTGGCTGCTTCTTGTTCTGACTGAGGGCTGCTGGGAGCAGGGGGTGGGGCTTGTTGCATGTGCCCGCCCCCTGGGCTCTTTACTGCTGGAGCTCCGCTCCTGTGCGCTCCTGCAGGAAATGACCCCTGGCATCACCTGACTCCCATGTCAATGCTGGTGAAAAACGACTGCTGAAGTAATGAGCTGTGCAGTCCTAAACTCAGAAAAGTACACCTCTGCTTGGGACTGGACTGTAAAACGCTGAAGAACCTTTAGAAAGAACTCTGGACTCTTAAACACGTAGCTGAAAATCCCACTGAAATTCCTTCTGGGTAGATCAGGGGTCCCCAACGTGTTGCCTGGCACCATGGTGCCCCCCCAACACCTTTCTTGGTTTATGCCATATGGGGCTTCTGCCCAGCAAGTAGGGTTGCCAGTCCTGGGGTGGAAGATACCTGGAGACTTTGGGGGTGGATCCAGGAGGGGGCGGGGCTTGGAGAGGGGAGGGGCCCCAGCATGGTCCAGTGCCCTAGAGTCCACCTTGCAAGTCAGCCATTTCCTCCAGGAGAGCTGATCTCTGTCAGCTGGAGGTCAGTTGTAAAAGCAGGATATCCCCAGCCCCCACCTGGAGGCTGGCAACCCTACTCCAGCAAGGCTTCCGGTTACCCATTGGAGATCCGATTGGCTGTGCAGGTTTTTTAAAACATCGCTTTGGTAGCAGCTGCTACCACAGTCACTGTGTGACTGAAGGTGAGGTGCAGCATTCATTTTGCAGCTGGCTCCACCTCCCACGGCAGCCATTTTATGGCAGCCATTTTTGCAGCTGCACCCAAAGGTGCCCAAAGGCTCAAGGAAGAAGGGGGGGGGGTCCGGGATTTGATTCTGGCCGTGCACTAGGGATATCATATAGCTTCTCTGTACTATCCATTTTCCTAATTTGGAAACCGGTTAAGATGCCCAGCAAAATGCTCCCTCTAAGCTGTGGAGTCCTGTGAGCAAAAATCCTACTTTGTGAGCTACTGGCATTAAAGTTGTGAGCGAGCGATTTGGCTGCTGCATAAATTAAGTTTGCTTTGAAGCCATCCTTCCTGCACTAAGGCAAAAATGTGTGAGCCGGGGGCTAAAAAAACTGTGAGCTAGCGCACACTAGCTCAGCTTAGAGGGAACAGTGAAAAGCAATCTTAAGCCGCTCCTCTCTAAAGTTTTATTCAGTGGAGCTTACACCCAGGAAAGGGTTTCAGCCGCAGATATATCAGGAGGATCTGCCATCCACATTTTTGCTCCTGCAGTGATTTACGTCTGGAATCCATCTAGGAAACACTAGTTACCAAATGTGTAAATGTTTAATAAGTAAGCACACCTTTTTATAAGGAGGGGAAATGACATAGAAAAAAATACCTATTCCACCAGATGTGCCAAGACGAATGATGGCGACGTTGGAGCATTTGGAATGATGCAGCAGTTTGATCAGCTCATGCAACATGATAGCAGCGGAAGGCATACCGATTCCGTGCTGAAATGGAAAAACAGACAAAGAAACTCCACAACTGCTATTACCGTATCCTGCAGAATACTTTTTTAAATTGTTTATTTATAATTTTGTGGTTACAAACAGCAAAAACATAGTCAAATGGTTACATATATATTTTCGAGTCTAGATCCACAATATTGTTTAAACCATGAGTATAATTTAGACCAGAGGTCATTTCGGGGGGGATCGCAGTTCCCCCGGGTGAGGTGCGGGGGGCGGGGCACACGATGAAGCCCCGCCCCCTGCGTCCGGCCACCCCGCTTCCGGCCCTCATTCAGCCAGGAGGAGGCAGGAGAAGAGGGAGGGTAAGTTGTTTCCTCCCCGCCTCTCCCCACCCCTACCTGCCTGGGGCCAGGGAGGGCCTTGGCGGGGCTTCCTCGCACTCCCAACGGGCCT